GCTGGATCCCAGCACAGGATCCCAACACAGAGCTGGATCCCAGCAAAGAATCCCAGCACAGAATCCCAGTGCAAAGCTGGATCCCAGCAAAGGATCCCAACAGAGAGCTCAATCCCAGCACAGGATCCAGGTGCAAGGCTGGATCCCAGCACAGGATCTCAACCCAGAGCTGGATCCCAGCACAGGATCCCAGTGCAACGCTGGATCCCAGCACTGGATCCTGCTGCAAGGCTGGGCCCTGGCACAGGATCCCAACACACAATCCCAGTGCAAGGCTGGATTCCAGCACAGATCCTTCTGCAATATTGGATCCCAGAGTGGGGTCACTGGGTCCCAGGGCAGGATCCCAGTGCACTACTGGGTCTCAAGATGGGATCCCAGTACGGTACTGGATCCCACACTGGTATCCCAGTGCACTACTGCGTCTCAAGACAAGGTCCCAGTGCACTCCTGGATTCTGGGCAGGATCCCAGTGCAAGACTGGATGTCAGGGTGTGGTCCCAGTGCAAGACTGGATGTCAGGGTGTGGTCCCAGTGCAAGACTGGATGTCAGGGTGTGGTCCCAGTGCAGTACTGGATGCCAGGGTATGGTGCCAGTGCCCTGCTCGAGCCCAGAGTGGGGATCCCAGTGCATTGCTGGGTCCTAGGCCAGTGCCTGGAGGACTCAGCCTGTGGTGCCTGTACTCTGGGGGGGTCACCTGGGCACCCCCAGGTGTCCCTGGCTCTGTCCCTGACTGTCCCTTCCATCCCACAGCCCGAAGGTGGATCCGCCTGTAGCCCAGCAAGGCAAAGGAGCCCGACCGGGGGGCAGGGGAGGACCTGGGGCTGCCTCAGCCCCTCCTCACCCCCCTCTGCCCCCCAAGTGCCCCGTGAGGCTCCGTCCTGCCCTGACACCGCGTGGGACAGGGCCAAAATGTGCCACCATTCCCACAGGTGACATCCCTGTGCCCGGGGAGACCCTGCAGCCCCTGCCCACCCAAGGCAGAGGCCAAATCCATCTCTGGTGGAGCCCCAGCATCAGGAGCTGATTCATGGGGTGCTCCCCTCCCTGTCAGGGTCCCCCTGTTCACTGGGGGGGCTCAGAGCCCCCAGCCCCACTGCAGGGACCAGAGGGACCCCTCCACCCCGCGCTCGACACTTTGACCACTGATGTGAACACTAAGTGCCAAAAAAAAGGGACCAAAGCCAGGCTGGGGGGGCACTGGAGAGGGGCAGGATGGTGCCCCCCACCCCAGGACCCCCCTGACCATTCCCCCCACCACGGTGACTTTTTGTACATGTGAAATATATGGAGTCTTTTACATGGGCAGTGCTTGATTTGGGGGAACATGGTGGGGGCACAGAGGCAGCCCAGGAGGTTTGGGGGCCTCCCCAGGCTGTGGTTCTGTGTTTGGGGGGGACAGGGAGGGGGCACAGAGATGTGCAGACATTCGGCAGAGCTTTGCAGTGCTGTTATTAAAGCTGTGGGGTTAAGGAGAGGGGGGACCTGGTTTGGGGAGGAATTGGGAGCCCCCCACACCCCCAGCCCCATTCCAGTGTGGGGTGGTCCCAGTTCTCCCCCCTTTTGGTGGCTGTGGGGGACTGGGAACAGATTGGAGGCTGGGAGGGGCTGCAGGGGGAGCAGGGTGAGGTCCCAAAGGACTGGAGGGGCAGGGTGGCAAAAAGGGCTTGTGGGGGTGGCCATGGGGTGCTGGGAGGGGCAGGATGTGACCCCAAACCCTCAGCAGTGGCACAAAGTCCTGGCCTCCCTCGCTGAGCCCCACCAGGCCAGGGATTAGCCCTGAAACAGGGAATAAAAGTTTTCTCTAATCCTCTTGGGGGGATTACCAGCACTGCCACACCCAGGGTGGGATCTGGCCCAGCCTCAGCCCCCCCAGCGCCGCCGCTGACCTGGGACCTTTTAATCCACCCACACAAACCCCCTGCTCCAGCCTGGGGATCCTCGGAGATGCTGTGTGCAAAGATGCTGCTGTCTGGCCGTGTCCATCCGTCTGTCCATCCATCCATCCATCCATCCATCCATCCATCCATCCATCCATCCATCCATCCATCCGTCTGCCAGGTTTAGGCAGGTCCCACCTGCCCTCAGTGACATCCAGGCACCCGAGTCCCCAGTGCTCAGGGCAGGATCCCAGTGCACATCCCACTCCATCCTCAAGAGTCACTGGAGATGCTGCAGCCAAGGGCACTGCTGTCCGGCCATGTCCATCCATGTTGATCTGTGTCCATCCGTCCATCCCATCCATCCATCCATCCATCCATCCATCCATCCATCCATCCATCCGCTGCTCAGGGCAGGATCCCAGTGCACATCCTGTTC